AAACCATCAACACCGTCACAATGATCTATCCAACTCAATCTTCAAAGCTTACCTCGATTGCCATTCATCTTCGTCTCCTTCATCAATCGACCTCGCTAAGATCCAATCGTTTCTCGCCTCGTCTTCTTCCGGTGCTGTCTCGTGCCTAATCTGTCTCGAGCGAATCAAACGCACCGAGCCAACCTGGTCTTGTACTTCCTTATGCTTCGCCGTCTTTCACCTTTTCTGTATCCAGTCATGGGCTCGTCAGTGTTTAGATCTACAAGCCGCACGTCAAGTCACGCGACCTTCGTCGACTCAGACAGAGGCAGAACCGGTCTGGAACTGTCCGAAATGTAGATCGTCTTACGGTAAATCGGAGATTCCAAGGCGGTACCTTTGTTATTGCGGTAAGGAAGAAGATCCTCCGGCGGATAATCCATGGATCCTACCTCATTCTTGTGGAGAAGTCTGCGAGAGACCGTTGAGTAACAATTGTGGTCACTGTTGCTTGCTATTGTGTCATCCTGGACCTTGTGCATCTTGTCCTAAGCTCGTGAAAGCTAGATGCTTTTGTGGCGGTGTCGAAGATGCTCGTCGGTGTGGGCACAAGTTATTCTCTTGTGGAAATGTTTGCAATAGAGTGTTGGATTGTGATATTCATAAGTGTAGAGAGATTTGTCATGATGGTGAGTGTCCACCGTGTAGGGAACGTGCGGTTTATAAGTGTTGCTGTGGTAAAGTTAAGGAAGAGAAAGATTGCTGTGAGAGAGTGTTTAGGTGTGAGGCTTCTTGTGAGAGTATGCTTAATTGTGGGAAACATGTATGTGAGAGAGGTTGTCACTCTGGAGAATGTGGATTGTGTCCATTTCAGGGGAAGAGGAGTTGTCCCTGTGGGAAGAAATTTTATCAAGGCTTGTCTTGTGATGTTGCGGCGCCTTTATGTGGTGGTACATGTGATAAAGTTCTTGGTTGTGGCTACCATAGGTGTCCAGAGAGGTGTCACCGCGGTCCGTGTCTTGAGACTTGTAGGATTGTGGTTACTAAGTCTTGTAGATGCGGAGGAACGAAAAAACAGGTGAAAGAGAGCTTTTTATCTTTTAGTTTTGGATATCTTCATGATATGTATTTAAATCAATTGTTGATGGAAAGTTTTTGGGACTTAATTTAGAGTAGATTCCTTGCCATCAAGAGTTGGCGTGTGACAGGAAATGCCAGAGATTGAGAGATTGTGCACGTCATGCATGTAGACGTCGTTGTTGTGATGGTGAATGTCCGCCATGCTCAGAGGTGTGTGCCTGTGTGGTTCATTCTTGTGTCGATTCTAATTTCATGTTTACACTTGGCTCGTTAAAAATTTCTTTCTGAAATTTTCAGATTTGTGGAAAAAAACTCCGTTGCAGGAACCATAAATGCCAGTCTCCTTGTCACCAGTATGTTCTCTAGTAGCTTGGTCTGGACTTCATTGTTCGTCTGGTTTTTAATTGGATACTAACGTTGTGACTGACTAAACATTGTGTATTGTAAGATATTAACTCATACACGTTGGATGACATTAACCTGTTGCTGTGTTCATTGCAGAGGTCCATGTGCTCCTTGTCCAATAATGGTAACAATTTCATGTGCTTGTGGTGAGACGCATTTCGAGGTGAGAATTAATATTTCAAGTTACTTCTGTTGTTATTGTGGTTCTATAGAAAGTTCATAATTTTGGCTAGATGCAATTGGTGGAAACAGTCAAGGAGATGTTGCTATACCTAACAAGCGAGACTATAAGCTTAAATTTACTTTTCCTATCTCTTTAGAGAACAATGATTCTGAGGACTTGTTTGGTCTAGGCCTACTAACCTTTGAATGTTTGATACTTCTTAGATATCTGTATCCTCCGATAGCAACTCTGTTTCTGTACGTTAAAACCTGTATTAACAACGCAGTTGGATGTTTTATGTGGTTCAGGTACCCTGTGGAACTGAAACAAATCAGAAACCTCCGAGATGCCGTAAATTATGTAACATTACCCCATTATGCAGGCATGGGTCAACCCGAAAGGTAGCACATCGAATCTGAATAAGGCTTACATAATTTTACTTTTGTGGCTGATTCCATGTCTGAATTTTGTGGAATTTATGTCATGTATTTATACAGCCACATAAATGTCACTATGGTGCTTGTCCTCCATGCCGACTCCCTTGTGATGAAGAATACCCATGTGGGCACAAGTGCAAGCTAAGGTTCTCATGGCGTTGTCTTTCTTCTCCATTTTTCTTTCCTACTTCCTGATATTTTTACTTTGTATTAACTTTAGTTTTTGTTTGATTCTTATGACATAGGTGTCATGGGCCTAGACCTCCACCTAACCGAGAATTTATGATTAAGCCGACGAAAAAGATGTTGAATATGCATGCTGAATCTACACCAGGTTCTCCCTGCCCTCGTTGTCCAGAACTTGTCTGGAGGCCCTGTGTAGGCAATCACCTGGCAGCAGAGAAAATGGTGAGTCTCAGTTCTCTATTATATATTCTCAGATGCATGTCTAATACTAGACTTGTTAAATGCCTTTTGTGGACCTTGAGATCTTCTTTTATAGTTTTTTTCAACATCTGATATGTTTTTGTTTTCGTTGGCTTAGATGGTTTGCTCTGACAGAACTCAATTTGCATGCGATAATTTATGTGGAAACCCTCTTCCATGTGGGAATCATTACTGTTCGTTTACTTGTCATCCCCTGGACATAAGAAGTTCATCATTGGATAAAAGAAGTGAGTCCTGTGAAAAGTGTGATCTCCGCTGTCAAAAGGTACTTCCGTTATGTTTTATATCTCACCACTTACTCGATCATGTTTCCTTATGTTGCAGTCTTGATTGCAGTTGGTACTAGCCATTAGTCACAATAACCTGAAGCTTATATTTTTTAAATGTTATTGGTTTCAAAATTAGTGTTTGAACACGTTATTCCGATAGCTTTCAATGCTGTTAAAAGCTCTTTATGGAGTCAGTTAGTCAGAGAAAAGACTTCCTTATCTCTCATACTGATGTACAGGAGAGAACACCACAATGTCAACATCCCTGTCCTCGACGATGCCATCCTGGAGATTGTCCACCTTGCAAAACTCTAGTAAAGAGATCATGTCACTGTGGCGCAATGGTGCATGCATTCGAGTGCATTTACTACAATACATTGTCTGAGACGGACCAAATGAAGGCCCGCTCATGCCGTGGACCTTGTCACAGGTAACTAACTCGCTGGTGCTGTATTAGTGTGGTTGTTTCACTTGTTCCCAAGCTCTGTTTTTTTGTTTACTATATAAGATTGCTGTTGCAGAAAATTGCCAAACTGTACACATCTTTGTCCGGAGATATGTCATCCTGGGCAGTGTCCATCTCCAGAAAAGTGTGGGAAAAAGGTAATATTTCCAAGACTCCATGATGCAACTGCGTTGTATATAATTGTGTCAATTTTATATTCATTTGGGATGTTGTCTCTGTTACAAGTGGGATCTTACTTGTCTCGATTTTTTTTTATGGATCAAGGTGGTTGTTCGTTGCAAGTGCCTAACTTTGAAGAAAGAATGGTTATGTCAAGATGTTCAAGCAGCTCATAGGGCCGCAGATTCTGATCCTAAAGACGTACCAAAGAATCAGTTCGGTGTCGGCCTTCTACCTTGCGATTCCACCTGTAAAAGCAAAATACAAAAGGCTGAATCGGTATTACAACAACGCAATGTAAGAGAGATCGAGGTAAGCAGAAACAATAAACAATTCTCAGAATTAATCTCATTCTCAATGCAACTTTCACAAAACGAGCTTTCTAATCAAACATCTTAGGAGAAGGAGGAGCCTAGTGGGAAAAATACAACAAAGCGAAGGAAAAGGCGTGAACGTGGTCAGGACATCAAGGAGACCTCAAGGCTGCAGAAACTCGCTGTGGCTACGAGGAAGGTACTGATGTTAGTGATGTTAATGGCTGCTCTAGCCGCTGTTTCATACTATGGCTACAAGGGACTCTTGTGGCTTTCCGATTGGATGAATGAAATCGAAGAACAAAGACAAAAGCCTAGAAGGTACCCGCGAATCTAATCGGTGGAATGAGACTGCTTCCTATCTTAAGCTTTTAACCCAGAATCCAAATACTGTCCAGTTACAACATTGTTAACTTTAAACACATTTGATCTTTTTTTTTGGGATTAGTCGATGATAGTCAACGAAAATATTTCAAAGGAGAGTATAGAGATTTCAGTTGATTTTCATTGATTTGTTCTCTTGTTTTTGGCATTTTGATATCTCAATGGAGCAAGAAACTAGCGTGGAAAACTGTGATTCTCTTGATAAATTTAGAACCTTTTATCTTCGCATTTTTTATTTTAAATCAAATCCATACACTAGCATTTCATGTGTAACCAATGAACTTGTTGGATCATTTCAACACAAAAAAAAATGAACTTGTCAGATCCGTTTTTCTCTGGTATGGTTCTGAACAAAATGATTATTCACAACTGTTTAAACTTTTTAAAGTAAACTAAATAAATTGTTGCTATTTGGCTAGATAGGAACAATGTTTACAAACAGACATTTCTCTTGGAAGTACATGATTAACTTTTAATTGTGTTTCGAAAAAAATATTCAAATCGGCCGAAATAAATTCTTTTATCCTTATAGCACCTATGTCGAATAATAATTTTGAGCTAGAGGGGTTTGATTTTGGTTGGTAGTACTTAGAGCAACCTTCCACTATATCTAGTCAACTATGATTGTTCGGGGAAAGGTCAAAGTTTACACATTCATTAGATCATATAATTGACAAAACAATAATATGTACCAACGATTAGATATTTAGTTTTAACATGCCAAATATAAAAGGTTTTTCGTTAAAATATATAAACGAAAAAATCAATGTTGAAGGACCTTTGGCATCAATCTAAACGAAAAAATCAATGCTAAAAACCAAGGAAATTGAGCATCAATAACCAAAAAAAAAAAACACATACCAGAGAATGCCAAAAATGCTTAAAACCGCTGAGTTTTGAGTTGGAGTAGCACAACCGACAAGGGCCTCATGCATGGAAAAATCGAACTAGTTCCATGACAAACAAAAAAATAGAAGCTCTGGTATGTGTTTTTTTTTTGCAAATTATCAATTTCAAAGTTTTGATGTGATTGTTCATGTTATCGATCGATCACATGTCAACTGTGTATGTAGAAAGAAGAAATCCTAATTATGGGTTCTTCTAAAGGAATTGTTTTCAGCAATTTCACATCATTCTTGGACTTGATTAGCGACAACCTCAAGGAGGTACGACCTCCTATTATGTCGCCTTCATATTAACACTATTAGCATCTGAATGAGACTAAAAACTCATTTGCATACGCAGTGAGGGGTTTGGTTGCGTTAAAGTGGTAGAGACAATGACGGAAGAAGCTAGAGAGGCTGTTGTAAAAGAATTCTAAGAAGACTCGGGTTGCAGACTTTTACTGTTGAGCTCAAAAATTGGATGGGTTGTCGCTGCCTCACATGTAAATATTTGCTTTTGATTCAGAGTTACAGATGGGTTCTTTTCCTTTAATCTATTTGGAAAAAAATTGTGGTTAGAACAATGAAAGAAAGTAAAATTATAAGAAATAAGGCTACGGTTCTATAAGTACAAACTAATTCAAATTTCTGAAGCTAAATAAGTCAGCTATATAGAATTAATTTAACATTAAATTATGTATAGATGAACATATGAAGGCTACATGAACTTGGGAAAATATATAGCAAAAGTAAATAATGTTTTTCGAAATATTGCTTTTGATCAAACGTTTTAGAGAGAGAAAAATACATTAGAAAACACATGGAACAAATTCAAATACATATTTGGATTAGAAAAAGGCGGAGTTTCTACAACGTTCTAGACATTTTAAGTTTGTACTTTCTTTCACAGTTATCATCATCACTATTATTTTTAGTTCATCTAAATTCTCATGTTTGTAAAAATATATTTTACATGATCAAAAGTCTGCTCAATGATATTTCCACTAAGGGGTGGTATTCAATTAAGGGGGAGGTATTGGATTAAAGAATTTAATTGATTTTGAGGGAATCTTCACATTGTTATTCAATTGATTAGAATCTTAATTCTTATAAATTCATGTGTTATTCAATTGATATGAATCTTAATTCTTTTAAATTCATGTGTTATTCAATTTTTCTGCAACTTTTATTCTGTTAGATTTCAAAAGAATTTAATAAAATTCTAGGAGAAAAATGTGAAGAGCCAATTCTTACCAATTTTGCTGGGATTTTGATGAAAACTTATTAATTATTCCACGATACTTTAAAATCAATTTTTTATCTCCCATTCAAGTGTTAACGAAATCTTGGAGTGATAATAAGAGAAATTTGCTAAATTGACTCAGTTTGAATTAGCGTTTTGTAAATTAACCTTCTACCTATGATTGTTTTTCCCAATAACCTTTCATATTTCTAAATCCCAATTTTATCCTTCTAAATTAAGAAAAATTAATCTTTTACTAATATATAAAAATGATTTTCGTTTTTACAATTTATTTAAAATATTTACAATAAATTTTTTCTTAAAATAAATATGTTAACGTAGGATATTTAAATATTTAAATAAATATTTCGGATATTTAAATAAATATGTTTACAATGATTTCNGATATTTAAATAAATNTTTAAATAAANTTTTTCTTAAAAAATAAATATTTATAAAAATGATTTTNGTTTTTACAATTTATTTTAAATATTTACTAATATATAAGAATGTGTTTTTTCCAATTAGAAGTAAATATCCGAAAAAAACATTTCAC